GTGGTGTGGGACGGTTTTTCTTGTGCGGTACACGGGAAAATACTACGTTTCCGAGGGGCAACGCGGTATGCTTTTATAGCAATGCCCTGCCCAGGCCCCTGGGTACCTAACAAGAGGCGGGGGTAGGACGATTGCAGTACATACGGACCCCTTTCACCAATAGCGTTCGACCCTTTCGGACCCCTTATTCGGTGCCCGAGTTCGATACTCATGAAACTATAGTTGAACCGTCACTTCCGGTATTCTATCTTAACCCTTTTTTATATTCCTACGAATTTAATTAATCCATCATTTCAAATGATTCCAAAGATGCGAGGACAAATTTCCAATAATTCTGCTTGAATATCAAACTTTTTCAGAGGATATTTGTATCATACAAAATTGCGCTAAATTCATGACAAATAATGTACTTTCTATCAGAGCTTAAAATATTAATATGAACTTATTAATGTATCATCGTTGTTGCTAAGAAAATAGATAAATTAAATTAGTATTAGGAATCATTGATATAGAACGACGTACACGAATGGTTGCGGTTTACGATTTCACCGTTTTTATCGAACGTATGGAAAACATCTGGATAAATTGGATCGATCGATCGATCTTGGAAATTTATGCGTAGATAGTTAATTTAAATCATTGATATTAAAATATCTATCGTATATTTAATGTGTATCATAATATATTATTATCATTTAATTTAACATATCTTTAATCTTGATCGCTTTTTCTTTACTTTGTTAACTATGATTAAACTCTTATTATTGAATCAAGCATAGTTTTTTACGATTTATTGCGATTTCGTAAGTGTGTTACGTCGACAAACGAGAACTCTCCAATAAGTACTAAGAGTACATCTCGCTTCTAGAAATTCGACACCAAATGCAAACTCCGTGTAAATGTCTAAGAGAAATACAGTATCGGCTAATCTAATGGCATAAATTAACAACTAATTGGACAATAATTTCAGTTTAGCGATAAAAAGAGTCACGATCTTCGGAGTCCAGTGGTGTTCAGTCCATAGAAACAAACACAAACGAAAGTGGCTTTTCAACATATTCGCGAATATCGCATGTGAAATTAAAAGATAATCTCTTCTCGCATAATTTCAATTTCAAAGTTGGAAACAGTTTGAACAACGTGGCCAAAAAATGATCATATCTATTCGGTGTTCTTCGAAAGTACTAGGCTTAGAATTGAATTAATAAGATCCATAATTGTTTCTTTCATTAAATCTTTCTAGGCTAATTGTAAATCTTCTCGATCGAAGGTTGACGAAGAAATCAATAAAAAAGTTAACACCTTGGCACCTTTAGTTGAAGCTAAAAACGGTTCTTCTCGACTTCTCCAACGAAGAGGTTTACCTTTTGTAGAAGTTGACCGCCCTTTACATGGAAATCCAAGCGATTGCTTAATCTCTCGGACGTTATTGGAAAACGGAACGATTGCATTATGATAAAAGAAGATGGGGTCTCTTCGGGGAAAATAAGCTCGCTCTTCGCGAAAGGAATCTCTCGAATTGAAAAACGAATTGGTGATCGAAGAACATCAAAATACGTGGATATCGGAGAGGCATTCGACCCGTCCCACGGCAAACGTAGTAAAAGTATTTCTATTTTGTTCCCTTTTTTTTCTTTTTCGAGTGATTAGCAATTACCTACCAAGGACCGAGTCTCTTACCAGTCACCACTCGAGAGATTTTACGCAATAATGGCACAGCGCACGTTACGTTTCAGTTCTCAAAGCAGAGAGTTAGAGAGCTAGGCTAGAGCTACCCCGTGTTGCGGATGTTAATGCGGCTTTGCTCGTAGGAATCGTTGCAAAATCTGGAAAGTTTAACGATTCCCATTATTTTGTAACGCCTCGGTTCTGCTTCGTATTAGAGATGGACGTTAGACAACGGACCGGGCGTGCCTTCTTATTATACGCTAACTTCTACCTATGTATTCGATTATGTATATCGATCAAAATTACTCGAAGACATTTCAATGATCGCCGAATAGATTGTTATATATGGGAAAAAAGAAAACAAAAAAAAACGAAAAGAAGAAAGGGTTCATCGAAATTGAAAAATCCTTATCGTCCCATTATTTCGTAATCCAAGTTAAATGCAAATACACATAACTCGTAACGATTTCTAACTGCCTGCAGCATACAAGTAGGGCTGATCGAGGTCGATCGTTTCTCCCTACGGCTACGTAGACAATAAAAAAAAGTATCCTGACTAACTAACCGATAATACGTTTCGTTAAAATTTCACGCGTAACGAAAGATACATACATATACTTGTGTACGTAGTAAGTACATATACGGTAGATACATAAATGCAATTTCTTACACGAATAAAATATTCTTTTTACTTCGAGAAAAGGATGAATCATGCTTCCCTTACGTAAGAACACCTACAATAATCTACTTTTTTACGAAATAAATATGGAACAAACGTTTTTGATAAGTTTTTATCAAGCATCGATAATTCTAAATGGCATGAAACTATTCTGAAAGCATAATTCTGAAACCAAGATAGAGTAAACGATAATGTAATTCATCGACTATCGAACGGAAGAAAAGTAATCGAAGAACCGGTAGAATGCAATTTTTTTTACCCTCCTCGTGGCCGCGTTCCTCGTCGTCCGAGAACGAGTGGACATTTTCGAAAGGGTCGTATACCTTGTGACTCGAATGTTCTGGAAGACAAGAAAAGAAAAAAAAAAGAAAGAAATGAAGAAAATAACTATCGTGTTGCAGGTATCTAAAATGTTGGATTTTGTTAATGTTTGTCAAGAGAAACGTACAGATTCGTTATCTAGAACGTATCGAAAACTAATTGATTAGAATCAAAGGACCAAGAGGGTTAAAGAAAGATCGGGAGGGATCGAGCAAAGAACGAGGTGCCGGAAATCTTCGATAGAAAATCCATTTTTGTTCTCTCGTTTCGTTTATACTTTTCGACAGGCATTTGTGCATGTCAACCACAAGTCTAGAATGCTCCAGATTCGTAAGCCAAGGATGGCGATTGCGACAATCAAGATGCCGAAGGCTATGCGGATTCCCATATCTGTGAACCGAGCTAAGCACCGTCTTAGAAAGTGAACAGAAGCATGCTCGCGTGCGTTTCAGCCTGGCACACGCCTTCTCCTTCGTTCTATATATACACATTATACTTTTTTATCCTTTCATTATAACGAACGTTATATAGAAGTAGTCTTAAAATACATCTTCAAATATGTGCAACAATTCAAAATCATTTCATTCGCGTAAGTATTTAAAAATGACATCAATGGACGATAATAATGTCAACGCGAGTCTAAAACATGATTTCTTCTCTCGTAAATGTTTATTTATTAGAAACAAAAAGACAATTGTGTAAATTGATGAAAAGAAAAATAATGGAGGAAGATAAAGAGAAATAGTCGAAAAATTATCTCATCTCGTTGTGCCAGAGCCGCGAGCAATGACTTTGAGAATGGCAAAAATGGAAAGAAGGCATCTTATACATCTATAATGCACCTATGTGCTTTCATACACGTGTACATGCATGCATACCATGTAAGCATGTACCATTCACTCGTAAAAGCAGACCTAATTATCTTCCCAGGGACAGTATTATTGATTAGCCTCTCTTTAATTCTAAGCTGGATAGAATTTTTTTTAAATAAATAGAATAAACTTTCAAAAAGAATTCGAACAATTTGTAACAATACAAAATAAAATTCGGTAAAGAGCTCGTGGAAAAGAGGCGGCTTTGGTTATACTTTTTTTTCTGTCTTTTGTTGTTGTTTCAGCTATTTTTTTTTTGTTGACAGAACCAAAATAAATTTCGTAGAGATCTAAAAGATTCTTATTCGTTACATCCAATATAGTAACGAAACTTACGTTTTATTTCATACATTGCAAAACCAAATGCGTTCACGTAAACTTTCTTTGCGAAAGCGACTGCGATTGATAGGAACGTATTAGCTTAGACCCGGAAGAAAATTGGTTGGCCGCCAACGTTAGTACCGTCTCGTAAAGCACCGTTCGCCTGACTTCGTAACTAAATTGCATCGTTCCTCCTTCTCCTAGGATATCCGACGCAATCTTACGCAAAACAATTTTTCTATAATCATTTTTATTTTTCATATTTTTCTAATCCCGATCAATAATTCGAATTAAAGAACCTCCTTCGTTAGAGTATAATCTAAATAAACAAACAATCAATCATGTCGATATAGTATAATGATTTGTAAAATAGATTGATAATAATCCTATAAGCATCCTTATAATAAAGAAAATATATATTAATACTATTAATATATTCCCGCGAATTCCTCAGAGTAAGAAAAGAAATAGTTAACTACTGATTTGATTAATCGCGGAAACTAACCGCCAAAGGATTACGAAATTGAACGACCGAATAGCCGATCGTGCTACAACAATGAGTTTTTCAGAAGTGTAATTATTTTTAGAAAGGAGTCATAATATTTCTAATAACATCTCACACTGAGGAAAGTCTTACGTCGTGGAGTCCGGCAACGTTTAGAAACGCGGCTAAGTTTTTTGAGATCCTATACGCATAATTTATAAATATTCTCCATCACGATTTGATTCAAAGTTTAGAAAAACTTATTATTTTCAATTACAAAATATATGTAAACGAAATAATATATTTTATAATAATTGTATCTTTATCGTTTCTGATCGTATAAGAAAATTATCGAAAATCAATTTCTGTATATATACATATTGTATATTTATATGTGTCTATAAATGTATGAAATAAAAGCATTTACACCCAATAAATATCTACATGTATGTATTAATATGGTTACATATATTAATACATATACCTATTTTGTTTAAACAAATAAAAAGTTTAAATCAATGTTTTTGAATTTTAAACGAGAAAGTATGGAGAAAGTATTCATCAAATCGAGAAATATCGAAAATATTAAAAAATCGAGAAATATCGAAATATTTAAAAATCGAGATCATTCGAGTTTCCTATTTTACCAACAGATGACGTTTATGTAGCATAAAATGGGCTACGATCTAAACGTCAAAAAGTGACATTTCGTTAGCGGGAAAAAGAATTTCTTGGTCTGTAATTTTTTACGTATCTTGACATTTTTAAACTTTTGTAAATAATAAATTTAGTGGTATGATATCTGTAGATAGCAGCAAAAAGCTCCAAGATAAGGTTTGTTCGTTATGAGATCAATTATAATGTTTTTTGGAAAGAAATTTTTTGTAAAGGTTATGTTATTTATTTGCTTCTAAAAACTTGTCATTATTCATAAGAATATAATTTCCAACGAATCTTTTTCTTCTTTTTTTCATAAATAAATTGATATAAGTTATTTGAATATTGTAGGAAAGCACCGGTGAAAATAGATCAGAAGAGTATCCAAGAATACCTATTTTATTATTGGATGGGCCTAAAGAATGGACTTATACTATGAGAAGATGTATGCAGGTATATTAATAATTTTTCCTAGAAAAGAACGAATGTCTGAGATATATCGAAATCAATTTCTTAATGATATATCTTTATAGAAAGTGATACCTGGTTTGTATCTCGGACCATACAGTGCTGCAAGTCGATCCAAATTAGAATCTCTGATTGAACACGGTATCACTCATATAATCTGCGTTAGACAGGATATAGAAGCACATTTTATACGGCCAAATTTTCCGGATAGGTTCAAGTACATATTTATTTGCATTGTTAAGACCATTAATAACATATAAAGAAATATTTTCCTATTGTAGATATCTGGTATTGAATATAGCCGACACTACCACGGAAAATATTATCCAACATTTTAAAAATGTTAAAGAATTTATAGACGAAGGTATAAATTCTGGTGGTCAAGTTTTAGTTCATGGTAATGCAGGAATATCAAGATCGGCGGCATTAGTTTTAGCATATTTAATGGAAACATATGGACTTTCACAAACGTAAGTAACATAATTGACGTAGGTATCTAACGTAATCTGTCATTAAAACTTCTTATCAATATTTTAGTCATGCGTATACCCTAGTACAACAAAGAAGATTTTGTATAAATCCAAACGAAGGATTCATGGCACAATTAAGAGAATACGAGCCTATATATAAAGCGCAAGAAACATTGAGAAATGGTCAACAAAGTTCGATAAGGCAACGAAGCAAACGAACGATTCATCAAATGGATATTGGACGAGTAGAAGATCGAACGAATACAATGGACAGTTGATAGCAAGTAAAAATATATACCAAAATTACAAAAAGACTTAATTCATAATAGAGAAGAATTATAGGTAATACTTTACACTTTATCGTATTTCAGCTAACTACTGAAATATGGATTAATACAAAAACATTTAATCCAAATACATCGGTAATTAAAGTACTGATTGTAATATATTTTGAATTTAAACAATAAAACGAACTAAAATTATTTAAAAAAGAAAAACAAATTTTGTTTGTTTAACTTTTAAATACATCTTCACGACTGACATTAATGGCAAATGATGAAAATATATAAATAATAACAAATTTTTTCGTTAATATTAACAAATTTTCATGATATATCGAGTAACATTTCTGTACATCAATGTTATCAGATTGAAATATAGCCGTATTAAACATTAATTAAAAATTATGTAATTATTTTAATCATTATAAACCAGTTATACTTATTACAATTACGGACCAATATCGTTAAGAAACCCATTCAATATTCATTGAAAATAGTAAATAATTATAAGTAAAAATAATCTTATTCCCATTTATGTGAGATTCCTATTTAATTTTTGCTGGTATGGAAACACAAATTATATCCTGTTTATTCTCATCTTGCAGTTCCCACCGAATTTTAAGAGACAACTGTAAATAACGATATAAAAGGTTTTAGAATATTTCATTTTTATTGTTTGTTTTCGGAGAAAAATGATATGTATGCAATACCTTAGGATAGGTATTTTCGACTGGTAAAACAGCTTTATAAGTATATTCAGTATCCTTTTTCAAAGGACACTGTATGTTAGATTCAGGATTAGTACACACATCGGGATGTGTTAAAGGAAATGGTATTGGCACGTCTGCAATTACACCATGAATTACTACTTCTATTTTGGAAACATCTTGAGCTAAAAAAAACAAGCATATCAATACATATGATCATTTAATTTATCGAAAATTCTATAGAAATAAAAACAAATCATTTTACTTACATGGGATAAAGTCTATAGCAAGACTCACATTAGAATTTCGAACTAATTCGCATGCTGGTTTGGAAGCATCGCAATTAGAAATAGTTATCTTTGTAAAGTGTCCAATCTTAGAGCCTACAAAATGATCAAATAAGAAATGAAATAATATCATAATATAAACAATTATTGAAATGATCATGTATCTATCAAAAATACATAAGCAAAAGATTACAATTATTAATATACATAGTCTTTCATTGTATGGAAGTGGCATTTGTAATTATTAAAAAAATGTTATCCGAGATAAATAATATGCTACATTTATCAGAAAATTATACAATAACACCGAATAAGCAGATGAAAAAGAATTATACGAGAATAGTTGCGAAGGATTACGTAAAAAAAGAAATGAAAAAAATAGCATTGATTTAATAACAGAGTAAAATACTAGCAATCATTTTAGGTATACATTTTACGAGACGAACAAAAATAAATTCGAAAAATATCTTATTGTTAGAAATGAAATACAAATGTGATAAACTGTATAGGATCATCTGCGACGATGAAAAAAAGTACAAAATCTGGAAACCTGGAAATAATGTAAATTATAATTTGCATTAGTTTTACTATAATATGCTCGAGAAAAACTAGCTAGTTTATTTAATGGTAAAAAAAGAAAAAAATAGATTACTACATTTAATGAGATACTTATCGTAATTAAGTTAGTTAAGGCATCATATAGTTGTAGTATTTGTAAGAGTTTAGCTCAAGTACGAGGCAAACAAATTTAATGCTATTAAGCATTTTCTCGCGATCTTAAAGAATGATTTATTTTTTCAAAAAAAAATTTTACGCTAATTGTAAAATCTTTATTTGTTAAAATGATTAATTTGAAAATAGACTAATCAAGAATGTGCGTTATCTCGTGAAATGTGATATGGCATATCGAATAAAGGAAAGTGTCTTTTGACTCTACGATGGACGATAATGTGAGTCATGAATTAAATTCGTCGTTTCTTAGCTGGATCAAAGACCTTGTAACAATATCAACTAATTGAATTTACAGACGAAGACTCTAACGTTGTAAATAATCCCAAAATTCAAATTAAATCCTTTATTTAAATTTTACCGCTTAGAAAAAAATGACAACGTGACTCGCAACGTCGATAATAAATAAATCATATTTCATTGATATTAATATTAACATAGAAAAAAAAAGAAATTTCGTAAGAGATAGAAAATGATTAAAATAATATTTCTGGATAAATTATTTTAATAAAAAAAATAACAATTGTGTGTGTATATAGAGATCAAAAGATGCTTACCACAGTCTTTGAATTCAACGGCATAGCAAAGCTGGAGAATACTCGAAACAACGAGAAACACGCAGAGTAAGATCGAACGAGTCATCCTGTTGATTCTTCGTCGTTCCCGCGCTGATTAACACTGATCGTTGGAAAAGACATAGAGCGATGGTAGGTGTAAGAGGAGAAACGGGGGTGGGGGTGAAAAATAACGTAGGGGTGGAACGAAAGAGGAGACGTCTCTGATGTTAAACTGTGATTATCGCTCCTCGTCTCCGACGATTGGAAACTTTATTGTATACAGAGTTTATCTTCAAAAGTGTAAATAATTTTTATTTCTTTTTCTAGATTTGAGGAAATACTAAGAAGGAAATATCATTTTATTTCCTTATACATGCGCATAGACGCCTTATGAATCAAGATATATTATCTATATGCATATGTAAATATGTACATGAACATTGGATTACATACAAATGAAATACTGAATACCGATAACGAACTTGTTTTCTTCTATGCTCTATACAAGCGCTGTCCAACCGGTGGTCCACGAATCAAATCAATTTTTTTTAATACAAATTTAAACACACAAACACTATATTAAATTAAATTAATAATTAAAACGAAAAGGAAACGTATTTTATGTATAAAACTTATAACAACTGCCGCTATGATATTGTGGCGTTCTTAAATTTATGTATACAATTATTTTTGACGTAACGTTAATTGACATTTTGATTATCTATACTTCTTTGACAGAATTGTTATAAAGAAATACATAGATCAATCGTTTGTTGATTTTTTGAGAAAACATTAAGGGAAAGTGATTTTTTAACGCAGTCAATGTTTTTTCAACTATGTTTTAAGACAAAAATGTAACGTAATATATCCCTGAAGTTTTTTATGCAAACGTTAAGGATTCAAATTGGCGCGGTAAAATAATGTTCCTCCGTGATGGCGCTTCGAAGAAATGTCATAAGTCGGAAGTGACGTAATACAACGTTAGTCCACGTAGCTGATGATTATTCTTATGGTCATACTGCTCAAAACTGAAATACATCACTTTCCTAAACGTTCTCCATTGATACGCAGTGTAAGTATTGTATTCAAACATATCTTTTTTATTTTTTAATAAATCTTCTGTTAAGTAATATGTTCATTATTTATTTTAATTAAGAGAGAACGTTGAATTATTATAATTTTATTCCGAGCAAGTTTATATTTCAGGTTAAATTGTATATATGTAGAATATGTTTTGTTTTCTTTGGTCTTCATATTTAATTTTGATGCAATTTCTTTATTATTTTTTGTCTATACCTATTAGGGAAATTAATTTAATATCTAGAATAGTTTAATCTGATAAAAATATAAAAAATTTAATTAAGATTGGAACCTTCAAGAATGTAAAGTATATGTATTTTGTTTATTGTAATAAATATTTAAGCTGTAATTTGAATTAGATATCAAACAGTCTACATTTGTATATGGTTGCATTGTATTAACGTGTTATATGTTTTCTATAATTTATAGAAATTGAATTAACCATGGATCAGGTGAAGAAACTAACAGAACCAGGACGTCAGTTCGCCAAAGACAGTATACGTCTTGTAAAAAGATGTACAAAACCAGATCGGAAAGGTATAAGTAATATTTTTGTTAATATATAAGAACATAGAAAAATCCTTTTTTCTTTTTTACAGAATTTCAAAAAATTGCAATCGCCACTGCCATCGGATTTTGTATAATGGGTTTTATAGGATTTTTCGTTAAACTAATTCATATCCCTATCAACAATATCATTGTGTAAGTATTTTCTTTGAATTTATTTTCTTCTTAATTTGTCTCAATTTTTCTATGTCTAAACTGTTAATAATTGTTTACAGGGGTTCGTAAATCCATACTGTATACAAAAATATTGTTAAGGTATTATAAGTTTAATTGGTCCACTCTTCGCTCCTATTTTAATTTAATTTATATAATATCTCATTTGTTTATATTATGAATATCATGATTCATAGAAATTAAATAACTAAGGACATGTATAATATATTGAATTTTATAATAAAATAGGAAGAAATAATAAATATATATATTTTTTGTTTTAAATAGGTGGTTTTTAAAAACACTTATAACACCAATATCCAAGGCACTTTTATTTCGAAGATTAATGTTTCCTTCCTAGATTTACAATATTAATTTTATTAAGCCATTTTGCTAGTATTATGTTAGCGGTTATTACACGATTTATATTTACGACAAAAGAAAGAATTGATCGAGGAAAAAGCTACAACAAGAAAAAAACATGTTTGGAGGGATTTTAGTATAAATTGAAGTAAAAGAAACCTAGAAACATAAAGTGATTATACGATAACGAAAAATTTGCGCAAAATTATATATCTTTTTTCTTGTAGAAATTTGTACAAACTTTATAACATTTGTTAGAAATGATCAAATTGAATATCGAACATTGGCAATACTCCAAAAGTAAGGCACATGTTTTAACGAGCAATTTTATGTGCACTTTTATGTATTTCATAAAGGCAGTAATGCATTTTTTTATTTAACTACAAGAACAGATGCCAAAAGTGATACTAAAATAACTCGCATGTACAAATACTTATGAATCTACGAAATACGTTCAAAGACATAAGAAATACTTTCTGTTTAAAGCGAAAGAATCACAACAAAAGGGAAAAAATTGCATATAAAGGAATCAAAACATAATTTGATTTTTTAATATAAATTTCAACATGTCTTTGAATCCTATATATTAATCATTCCTAAGATAATGATTTATTAGAAATAGAAATAGACACCAATGAGACGCGAGGCTATTAATCTCTTATATATATCATTTCTATTAAATTATTAAATACTCTTTCAAGGCAACTTAACAAAATTTAATATAATAATAAAAAAAAAATATCTAAAGCACCACATATGTATGACTGACTGTCTCGGTTCGCTCTTATTTAAATATATTCTTAAATTATTGATAATAAAAAAAATTTTGTATACGTAATAATTCCGTACATAATAACACAACGTAAAAAATAAATCTTCTCTTCGCTTCAATTAAAGGAAGCGTAGGAAGACTTTGTTTATCACTTAGATCACTTTGATTGTATGGCAGCAGTGTTCTAGTAAAGAGAAGCATTGATTCATCTATTTTAAGCACATTTCTTAATTATTGTACGGTTCTTCTGCGCTAACAATTTCATTAACTTACGTTAATTGCAAGAACTCCTTTTCATATACCCAAGGTACGTTCTATTGTACAGAATTACCAAATATTTGCAAAAATATACACCTAAGATGTATATAAGGATAATCTATATGTTGTGTATATATATATATATATATATATATATATATATTATCTCAATAATGAAAAGATCCATTTTTGTCAAACGTACCGAGGGAGGGTAACTACCCACAACTGAGGTATATCGTTAGGCACTTATTTTTGATTTTGTTAACAAATATAACAATCTGTCGTATGGTAAAATATACATCAATAATTAACTGTGCATGTGTATGTATATCTGCAAGTATAATATATTAAATGTCATTAATAATATATTCATAATAATTATAAGTATCCTTTGAAGGCCAATATCAACAAAAATACTTAACGTATATATTGGATAAGCAATCTTTTGTCAGAGAATAAATGAAAAATATTTGTCAATTGTTTGAGAAACGCATGCAACACTATCTGCGACAAGCGAATCTGTTCATTATACGAATTACAATAAACAAGAATGTCAAAGTACGGTTATTACGAAGGAATGTCTTCGAGCGTTCTCTATCGAACATTACGAGCAAAAAGGGGGAAAAAAATAAGAAAAGAGAAAATGTAAATAAGGGAAGACAGACGTGTAAGAGAAGTGGAAAATGTAAAGCTAGAAAAAGAAGGAAAGACAAAAAATTGTTCGCGTTTTACACAGATAATAAAATATGTATAAACTTACGAGCTAAGGACTTGTCACGAAAAAATGAGAGAAGATTAATTAGAGTCTGCCCGATTTAATTACTTTTAACCCTTAAATGCACTAATAATAACACGTTAACATTATATAAAATTTGTCCATCATTTTAACTAGTCGATATATGTTTTTTTTTTTTTTTGAAAATAAATCAACTAAATAAATGCATGGAAGGGTTAAAGAAACATGACCAACAGAAATCCTTTGAGACAAATTCCAAAACTAGTCTAATTATCGTTCTTTGTTATAATTATCTTTGTATGTGTGGAATGCATATGTAGTCTTTCCACTATTGATCAAGATCAAACAGATTCATCGATAATCTTCTCTCAGAAAAACCGTAAAGATTAAGTTAAAGCTAAACGGTGCAACCAGAATCAGTGGTTGGTACGTAAGGACTTCCCTGCCGATAGAAATCACCTTCGTATTCCTCGATTTTGACAGGATAATCCGTGACACAGTTTTCAGGTTGATTCAAGGCTGGTGGTGGTTGAACAAAGTTGTCCTGGTAACTCGGTAGATGCAATGGGTCGGCATATTGCTGATAAGAGGTATCTGTAGCACCACCTTGTTTCAAACAAGTTGGTCCATGTAAACTGAGCATATCGACCAACCTACGCCTTTGCATCTCCAACTCCTGGATCTGTGATTTGAGGTCGTGATTTTGTGTTTCTAAGGTCTCCGATTCTTGGACCAGAATCACCGTCTTCTCTCGTTTCTTCAGCCGACATTTGGTAGCTGCTATTTTGTTCCTCTCTCGTCTCCTCCGTCGTCTCTCCTCGTCCTCTGGTGTCAACTGTAAGACGTTTAACGGAGACTGAGATAGGCGAAAGATAATAGAGACAAGCAAAATCTCGCGCTTCGCGTATTTCCTCTTTCTCTCTTTTGATGATGATCGATGAGGTAGCGAATTACAGTCGCGACTGTTTTTATCGTTTTAACGAGCTAACAGTATGCGATTTTTGTTCTTACTCCACCCCGATTGTTGTTGTTGTTATTGTTGCTCCCGTCGTCCTCCTCCTCGTCGTCTGCGCTACCATCCTCCCTTTTAGTCCTCTTCTTCCCCTCGTCCCCACTTCCGTTTGCTCGTCTTTTAGTTTGTAGCGTCAATTTCAGGCCTGTCAACACACAATTCCAATATAATAAGAGCTTTTATTTCACAAAGTTCAGGAAAAGAAATTTGACTGATCAATTACTAGTACTCTGAGCTGTAATGCCAATAGATTGATATGACTTATAATAAAATAAAGGAACCTTCTTTGATAAGCTGACTGCAAGTGTGTTGGACGCTTGGTGGACTCGGTTCGCCGCTGCTGGTCGAATCGGTACGATCCCTGCTTTTCTCGTTGGCATAGTCCTCGAAGGGATTGGTCATGGCGATCAAAGAGTTTACGATTTCCGGTGTCCTCGGAGTGACCTCGGCCGCCGCGACACCGAGAAGACCCGCGGCAGCCGCTGGACTAGGATTCACGTTCACGTTTAAATTGTACATGATAAATTTTTATCATTTAATCTGAAACAACAAATATAATTGATGTTACTGTAAATTACTATACTATATACCTATTCGTGAATCTTATGTTAGTTTAGTCAAATGAAAAGCATTGCCTAGCAACATAAATACCAGTGACAATCTACGAAAAACGTAAAATTACGTTAGCCGGCATACAATGTATTAATAAAAACGATGCATATTATTCGGTCAAAATGATTTCAGTCATCTTCCGGTATGGGAATTCCAGAAACATTTGATAATGGAGCAACATCCTTGATTGCGGTTTAGGTAGTTTTAAAGAGAGAACAAGTCAAGAGATCGCTCCGTTTAAAGCAAACTCGAAAGAAAAACAAGTGACTGATTCTCCAATCAGGCATTCTTTCTCTTTAATTTGTTTAATAAGATAATGACCAAAGAAATCATGTACAAATGCATCTATTGAATATCGACCGAAGGAACATAATGTACTATTAAGGTAAGATACATCACGTAGAATACCTAAACACGATATATAGGTCAGTAGGTAAATCTCCCGCTAGCAGAGAAACCTTTGTTGTATTTTAACACGAGAGACAGACTCTCTTTCTGGGGTTCCAAAGAGGAGACGAGTTCGTCTCGAGGAAGTCGGCCTTTTTTATTTTCATTTCTTTAACTCGAACGGTCCTCCTCCTCCTCCTCATCCTCCACCCCCCCCCACGAGAAATAAGAATAAGAATAAAAGAAATAAAAAGTCGAAGTAAGAGCGGAGGAGGAACCGTAAATGGCAGAGAAGAAGGAGCAAAAGAAGGTGCTGCTGGTGGAGGTGGCGAAGGTGAAGGAGGAGAAGGAGGTGAAGGAGGGGAAGAAGACGAAGAAGGAGAAGGAGAGTTGCAAGGGCATTAGGCTCCGAATACGGAACGATATAAAATTCTTACGAAACGTTCGCACGCATACACGAAGGAACCGAAGAAACTTCTGGCGAATGTCGTAAATGGATATACTCGCGGCAGAAAAAGAAACAGGAACCGAGAAAAGAGAAAGAAGAAGCCTCTCAAACAAGCCTCTTCTTTCCCCCTCTTTCCTCTTTCCACCTCTTTAGCAACAAGCACGGACCAAAGAAACATTCGAAAAGCAAAGGATGCGACGACGACCTACGAAATGATATTTCTTTGGGAGATTTGCAAGATTTGTCGATTGAAATAGAGACATGTCAATGTGTGTGTGTGTGTGTGTGCGCGCGTTTGCGCGTGACACGCCTAGAGATAACGAGGCTCCAATATTTGTCTTCAAAGGTATCAACCCAGAACTTTCCGAGAGAAATTTGTTGACAGCCATTGACAAGCTTTTAGTCCGCCCACCCAAGTCGCCAATCTGTTCTGTTCTTTTCTTTCCTTTCCATGGTTACAACGATAAAGAATTGTTTCTAATTTAATATAATATTAATATCCAGCAAGTTATTTTGAAAAAAAAACAAGAAAAGAAAAAAAAGCTCCGAAAGATATATCCAAAGGAACGAAGGAACGAACGAACGAACAGGTGTCCGATCGAAGCTATTGCTGGCTTTGCTTGCCGTCAAACTTATAAATAGAAATCGTTTGATTTTGACGTACGGTCGGAACGCTTCGGTATTCGGGTGATCCCTTGGCGAGAGCGTTCGAAACGGAGCTTTTGATTGTATCGAATGACCGACCACCACCAACAAATCCGTACAAATACGTGCTTCCTACAAATGATTGTCGAATTTGCTAGCGAATCGAGGATTGTTTTTTCATCTTACAGAGATCTCTTTCGATACACCGAGAAGAAGAAACGAGTACATAGATACTGTTGCTGGCTTAGAAATGATAAATGCCGATTGGCTGGCTTATTTTGCGCCAAGGTGCGTCGAGAAGAGCGTAGGCGTCTAAGAATACACGCACTTCCGACTCTTTCGTGCTCCTTCTTCTTTTCAAATCGATTGAACAGATAAATCTTTTAGCTCTCCTATAAAGACACAAAAAATCTATTATTTCTAAATGATATCTAAAAACGTTACGTTGAATTTTATTCCATTAGATTCGAGATGGTTTTTTTCGATGCGTTAGCAAAAGGGTTCTCTAGTTGGAGCAAGCACGTTTCTCCTCATCATATCGATATCGGTGAAATTAAACACAGGATAGAGAGATATCGCTTAAGAGAGTCGATCTTTTAAAGAGGAGTTCTCGGAACTACGACTAAACTCGCTCGCTGTTATAAGTATACATAGAGAGAGAGAGAGAGTGCAAGCTTCAAATAATCAAAATAATAATAACAGTACAATTATTTATATCTCGTCGATATCGAGAAAACAATTTATGTAATCCGAAAAGAAAGTAGGCCTAAAAAGTTTCGAAATATCATCTAACAAAGAGACTTTTGGCTTATTCCATGGTGTCACATGTCTTATACTATTTAGCAGCATGTGCTATGATTCTTCTCACCCTAAATCTTGTACTGCCAGTGAGTAAAAGTTGTGCGATAGAAAGGGGTTAGGGGAAAAAGAGGAAGGGGCGGGGCGGGGCGGTGATAGGGGGGTAGAGCTTGCGCAAGCGATGACCATCTGGCAAGGAAGCTTTTATCGTGCTTTTTCGGCACGGTTGCCGACATAAACGTAGGCGTCCTAATTCCTACAAACATCATGACTCCATATCAAACGCCTTCGCAAAACTCTTCTCGTAGTTTTAACGAGAAGCATATCGTGAGAAAGGCAAAAGTATCGAAAACCTGTAAAACCCGCCTTCCTTTTCCTTACTTCTTTCCATTTGACTTTGAAACTAAATTAACGTGCGTTATTTTACGAGCTACATTTTATGATTGCGATAGCCATCGTTGCGAGGACCAAATCGATTTTTATTTCTCCTTTCGAAACTATACTGAAGAACAAAATTGCGTAGGCAGTGCATAGATAACCGCTTTTGAAATAGAAGACATTTTTCCAAAGCAACTGAAATAATAACGAAGATGCTAGTCGATTAATAAAGATTGATGCTTTCCAAGCCCGCATCTCGTCCTCTCTTCCTTCTCACATCAGTTTGTGTTATTTAATGGGTGAGAGAGAATTCTTTTGGTGTTCTACCACTGCAAATTCGTAATTGGAGAAGATGAATGGGGAATATCCCGCACAAATACACGCAGACGTTCGAGTAATTTACCATCCGTTAAGTTCTTTATAAGTATATATATATATATATTCGGGACGAGTTATATTTTAGGAAGTTAACGACTACAATTATGATTTTTAAGAAACGTACGCAGTAGGACGGGTAATTACAAAATGTCATGGTGCTTGGTGACGATAATGTTAACATTACATTTCGATTTTTCCTCTATATCAATAATTTTATATATACAATGGTTCGTTTAGCCTTGAAGAGGACAGGTCTGAAAGAAAAAGAAAAATAAAAGAGACAAAAAAAAAAGAGAAAAAAAAAAGAGAAAAAAAGAGGAGAAAAATAATGAAAGAGGATGTCGAGAATTTTGGCGAGATATGCCTCTTCAACTCGCTTAAAACTCTATCTATGTAATTTCCTCTATATTGTGCTTTGGACAAAATGAAACAATGTTTATGTAAATATCTAGATATATATCGTGATTATTAAAAACGCAATTTCCCACATTCATCATACGAATTATACGTCAACCCAAACTCTTTGTTTTTCCCTTTTTAGAAAAGCGGCATACGTCAAAGTGAAAAACATTGTTAAACAATTAGTCAAACTTCCGTTGAACTGGATTGATTTATATACCTTTATTTGCTTCCTAGTCCATGAGTAATGACGAATATTTGCAAAATGATAAAAATCTAATCTTTGGCTATTTTCTTTTAGGATGCAAAATACATTTTTCATACGTTAATACTAGTTTTGGTTGTATAAAATTGAATATAAATGAAAAAAGGAAAAAAAAAATAGGAAAAAATTGTCGATCGAAATAAACCAAGAGGTTTATAATCACTAAGCACGTGCGATCGTGTCTTAGGAATCCCAACCGTGCGCACGCGAGAAACAACACAAGATTGCATAATACCAGGAGAAGGCGTTCACGCATTTCTGTCTGTGTGTCTTTTTAAATACATATATTATTCTTTATAAAGAATAAGAAAAATTCAATGTTAAAGTCAAGTTTTCATATTGAATTAGCTGGTCCTTTAACTGTTTTCCTTGTCATTCTATTATATGCATTTGCCGATGCAATTATAGATCCAAGATAATAAACGCGACTTGCATACCATTCCGTCCTCATAAACTAAGAGGAGAATGTTTCTAAGCTGTTGCTAAATCCGCATCTCTTTTAAACTCATTGAAAGATATCGAAAACGCATAACTCTCTCGCAAACATACATGTGTGCATGCACATGGATAGATACTAATTGTAAGTGAACAGAATGTAAATGAATTCGTTACTTACGAAATAGTCAAATCGTTTAGAGCTACAATTGTAGAGTTCCTCTTGTTATTTTCTTTGAAATTCATAATAGATAGGAGATCGCGCTGTAAAAAAAAGAAAAAGAACTTTTGTAAGCCTTATCAATTGTCGAAATGGCGCGAAATTTGTATTACCAATAAACGCAAGGACGCGTGTTGGAATGATCGCGCATTCGCGCACACTTGGGTGCATCCTTCGAAAGTCTATTATGTTACGTAACACGCATACAAGCTTCGTAGTGCAGGATAAAATCGTAATTACGGTAGTGTCATATCGATAACGTTTTCGCGATAACGTATCGCGCTTTGATATAAACCTATGCACGCTCGTCTTTCCTTCGCTAATACGTAAAGTCCAAAAGCGAACGTACGTGCCCATCCAATTCATCTGGAATTCATCTTTTTCTCTTTGGAGAAAAAAAAACAAAGAGAGAGAGAGAGAGAGAGAGAGAGAGAGAGAGAGAGAGAGAGAGAGAAAGAGAGGTGAAGTAAACTTGCACACGCACACGCCATCAATTGTACGCGATGCATTAGCATTTTAAATTCAATCGGTACATTGACGCCCTTGAACAATAATGAACTCTCTCTCTCTCTCTCTCTCTCTCTCTCTCTCTCTCCCTTTCTATTTTAACTCTTACTCTTTCTTAACGAAAGGAATAGAAAGAGAGAGGACACGCGACTTGTAAATCCAGTTATATCATCTCTCGTAAAGTCAGCTGTAAGAAGGTTATTCGTATCCTGAGCGCCGATAAATCGGTGACCACTACGCTCATGTCGTATGTATATTAGTTATATAGGTAAAAACATACCTCTCACATTTTTGTCTACAAAGAAAAAGAAGAATGAGAAACGACGAAATCCGAGTTGATTCGAGGGACGATACGTATCCGCTTCTTTTGTGCTTTTTATCTTTTTCCATATCTTCATTGACCTTCCGCGAGAAGATCGTAGTGCATTTACACATAATATATAGACATACATTTGAATCTACGTGTCGTTATAATAGTTAGGTTCCATTCGTTCCTTTTGAACCAATTAAAAACGCGTATATTCTGTGCTTGAACACTTGAAAACGACGCCGTCGCGACGCGCCATTGACGATCGATCGTTGTGAACGACGAAATGTCACCAAGTTCACGGCCGTCAAAAGGATCTATTCTACCGTCTAAAAGAATCTACTATTCCCATTGACTTCATCGATATAATTAATTGTAAAACCTTTCGATCCGATTATTTTGTGAGAAAGAGAAAGATAAGATTATATATATTGTCTCGGTCGTTACATTTATTACAAATCCCCTTAGAAAATTTTTCTTTTCATTTTATAATTATGTTTCTTCCAACTCGTTACGTAATAATACCGTTAATAATGTACCATTACTTTCGGAGTAATTATCTTCTTCTTTATACTCGTTGCTGGAGTTCTCCCTTTAAATTCGATTTTTAAACAGGTAAATTAAAAACACGAATGCATTTGCCGCGCTCGTCTAAACACCTCGCTCATCGACAAAGTAATACATAGGAAACTTCTAAAGTAAATAGACATTGTACATTCATATTCATGAATCTACTATTATGAACACCCTTCTCAGTCTATTCTCATAGAAACTATTTATCTTTCTTTCTTTCTTTCTCTCTCTCTCTCTCTCTGTCTCTCCCTCTCTCGAAAATTGAACAGGATACAAGACTGCTTAAATAATTACCGAAACCTATTGTATAGATCTCTTTTGTTTCCGCGTGTGTTCGTACATTTATTTATGAATAAACTTTGAGATTAGATTTCAAAGAAACGCGCGCGCGCGTATACGTATTATTTATTAGAATAATTAAAATGAATATGCATTAGGAGATAAAAGAAGCGAAGAAGCAAACTCCATACTTTTTCAGCAATGACGCTAAAGATTAAAAGCAACTACAACTAAACAAATTATTGAATATGTATTAATGACAATATCAGAGAACAAATATTATTTGAATAATCTTAATAGAAACATTAATATTTCTCTTTGATTGGTTCATTGTTTAGAATCAAACCATCGACCAAGTCTCGACCTATAAACACGTTTCCTGGTTACCAATCACGAGATTTATCGCGTGCGCAGGTGGAGAGTGGAGGGGGGAGGGATACACGTGCATCGTCGTTAAAGAAAAAAGATAAACAGAAATTTGACATGCGAAGGAGGTTATATCCTACCTTCTTTCTGCTCGGTAGAAAAATACATCAAAGTGGTGGTGGTAGAAACGACGAGAGGATGATACCGTTGACGATAAACGTCGACGACCGACGTCGATGTTTTTTCAATACAGCAGACGTAAAATAAAAAAAATAAACAAATACGACACGTGTAAAATACACTCTCTAGAGAAGATGCACGAAACGGCTAAGGGTTATAAAGAAAAATAAAATCAAGAAAAGAAAAGAAAAGAAAAGAAAAAAATATGTAAGAAAAGATTAGACGCGATTTAGACGCACGCACGTACGCATGCACGCACGCACGCACGCACGCTCATACAAAACATTCGCCTTCGTCGGCTGCCGACGCACGACTGTGGATTATTCGCGCTCGCGACCGGCCTAGATATATCAGAGTTATTTTTAGCAGATGCTGTCACTTGCCGCGATTCTTATTGGTCCGCGGTGACGTGATCGGAAACGACTGACCACTGCAATTGGTCGAAGTCGCAAACACGACCGAGATCGCGAACGACGCACGCAGTCAGTCGCGCATCGTCTTTGGGCGCGACTCGATTTTCTTCGCGCCTGAATCTGTCTTTCTTTTTCTTTCTTTTTATTTCTTTTTATTTCTTCTTCTTTCTTCTTCCCTCTTATCCTCTCTTTCTCCCTTTCTCTTTGCTTACCCTTTTCTTTCGATCGAATCCTTTTCCTAATCCTTTCTTTCGTCAATGACAACAAGACTTTTCTCTGTCAGATGATTCTAGAATAAATACGTTACTTCTTGATACTTGTCGCTAAATGTTAATAAATTACTAATTCGAAGTACTCGAAGAACACTTCACACTTGATCGTTAGAAATCCGTTAGTGTCAAGGTTAATAACAAATAGTTGTTGCAACGAGGACCTGAAAAAAATAGATTAGTTTACATCTTTTTAATAGGTGAATGGTCGATCGAATTTCATGTGAATAGACACTATTTATGGATCGCATTGGTATAGTAATGAAAGGAGCATTAACGCGCCATACGGCATGCTGTGCTATTAATTTACGCGGAGCTTTCGAAAAGCCTTGAGGCTGAACGCCGTGCCTCTTTTCTGTCGTATGAAATCACGCTATTTCCACGGACTAACTATTATATGAAAATTACATGCTAAAATTAGTCATGGATGATTACCAAGGGACAAACACATAGATGAGAGATATAATGGAAAAATATAAATAATTACAAGGGAAACTCACGCTTTCTCGACATAATCTCGTTTTGATCCTACGAATGATGAAGATATGCAAAGTGAATGGAGTAATGGTAATGAACACTGCACGTGTTGTGTACACGATCGAATACATTTTACCGTCCTTAGTCATTAATATAACTGGTATTATCCTTCTCGTTATTTAATGTTTCAAAATCATTTCATTCTTGTTCTTGTAACCTAAATTCAATACATTTTTCGTATATGTATATACTATTATATAATTAACCGCGAAAATCAAAATGCCAAATGTTAGAAAACGTAACAAAGTAGGACAACAAAATAAATAGACTAAATTATGAAATACGATATATAAACCTAAATCGCCTTTAAAAATTATTCAATTAAATTATAATTATTTTGGTTATTATTTATCCTCTTGTAGTAGTTACATACGCGCGTATATAATCAGATTAGATTTAATTTTTTGTATTGTCAAAATTTGGATGTCAAATAAAGTGACATCTGGTGAGCTGTTATAAATTAATAAAATATGGTAGCCATCGTGGGTTAGTAAACATGTTCAAAGATAATTTTAAATATTATAAAAGTCGAAATCCATTGCCTGATTTAACAAATGTGATTGACTTCAATTGTCCAGATATTAGTAAAGTATATATAATTTACTAATATCTACACTAATCTATCAATTTACCAATCTAAAATCTATTAATTTGCCAATATACATGTTTATGTTTATGTTTATCTTTAGGTTAAAAACATTGAAGCACATTTTATAAGTGACACGTGTGAAAGGAAATTTGGATTAAAATGTTCAAAGGATTGGAAAATTTATGAGCTTTTAAATATTCCAGGTAAAATATCATTATGTATTTTTTCTTTAGTTTAATCTAATCTCTTTTAATACTCGCAGGACTTATTTTTATTCAAAATCCATTTACAACAAATGGTCATCATTATTGGATCATAAAGTGTTTAAGGGATTATTCAAGGAAACCAAATAAAATAAATTTAGATGCTCATAATATTTTAAGTAATGATGAAACTTGGTGGGACATATGTTTCCGGTAAAAAGAAATACTCTTGATTATATTCTTGACAAATTAGTTTTTCTTTTTTCCTCTTTTAGATCCAATAATAATAATAGAGCAGCAAATTTGCTCCCAAAGTTACGATGGGCAACGCTAGGATACCATCATGATTGGGACACAAAAGTATATTCTGAAAATTCTAAAACACCCATGCCTATTGAACTTATCGAATTAACACAATTTTTGGCTAGAATATTAAATTTTCCGAAATTTAAAGCGGAAGCAGCTATTATTAATTATTATCGAATGAATTCTACATTAGCAGGACATACAGATTGTTCCGAGCTAAACATAGAAGCACCACTCTTTTCCATTAGTTTTGGACAGACTGCTATATTTTTGATAGGTGGTCTTTCCCAAGAAAATCCAGCAGATGCTCTATTTCTACGAAGTGGTGATATATTAGTAATGGCTGGTAGTTCACGCTTGAGATATCATGGAGTACCTAAAATTCTATCATCTCAATTGTGTCCTTGGGATACAAGTGAAACGGAGACTAATGAAAATGACTGGATTTGTGCTAAAAAATATCTAGCCGAAGCTAGAATAAATATAAACATAAGACAAGTATTGAAAGCTAATCAATTGACTTTATCTTAAATTATAATGGCAATTGTGTGTATTTATGTAAATAATGCATAGGGTGTAAAAAAGTTTATACAAAAGTGTATATTTGTTTTACCTTGTAAATATAACTAATATCATATCAAAATTTAAGTCTATATAATATTATTTTAATAATTTTTGTCTTTATCTTGACCAGTAGTTGCGTAAAAAATAACTGAAATGTCCAAAAAATGCCATGCTATTGTCGCCATTCTTGTAAGAAAAGATTGAGATATTTTTATACGGTTCTGCTTTGAATTTATCAATTCACTATCTTTTGCATGAATATGAATATTTGTAAAGGATGATAAAGAAACACTTGAAGTCAAATACGGTTTGAGTAATATACTAGTAGCATCGTGTACTGCTGTGCCCAAAAGAAAATTTTTTGAAATATCTGGAGCATGGATTATCATTTCTGTTTCTTCTTTTTTTTCTAAATTCACTGTAAACAATAAATCTTCGTTCTCTAGCAAATATATAATTTATAATAACAAATTTACATAATTACAAACCTCTCAAAATTTTTTAAATGTTCAATTCTTTCTTCAATGCATCTATTTCATGAAAACACATTGAACTTTAAGGAAATTGTAGTAATTATTAATCTGTTGAAATATTAGTTTTTGTGCCAATTCATATATTCAATTTTATGGACAACAAATCTATAGCTTAAATCGAATAAAAAGTTCTATTCATTCGCGCGAGTATTTCGTCGCATGCGTTTCTAATTGTTCCTGGTCTCCAGTTTTGCTGTATATTTTTTGAATGAACGGTATTTAGATCTAACCAGAAAAAATTATTCGATTTATCCTCTTGTATATGAAAACTGCGATTCTCTATTGTCAATCGTCTTTCAACAGAATTTTTCAATTCTGTTAACGTCATATTTTTAAGTGCAAAAGAATTTGTAAAAGTTTCAGTTACGTTGCTCGACTTAGAGATTATACTTAAAATTTTGGAACTCAAAAAAATCCGGATGGGCTATGTAAAAGATTATATATACATGTATGTGTATAAATAGATAAAACATAAAATAAAATTTTGACAATGGAAAATATATATATCTATATAAAAGAAGTATTTATCTACTTAAGGCGTTTCAGATAGCAATCAGCAGTGGGCGATACTTGGTACTTATCCATTAAGACGTTAAACGCGATCCCTACGTACCGACGCTGAACATCCTTAATCAATAAATGGTTCAAAGCTTTAAATATATATAAGTTTAAATTAATTCCAAGAGAGATTTTAGTTCTGATAAATTTAAAACATTCTTATATCATTCATAATTTCAATATCTTTTAGCAATAATTTTGTTTTCTTTTGAAAATCAAAGAATACAACTTCATAGAAAATGAAAATTCTGTTGAAATATATTTTAATTGATAATATACTCTCTGTGAATACAAATATTTCTTATGTCAAAAATGTAAATCATTTCTTTTTTTAGGTCAGCGATACTAACTGCTTAAACAGTAAATTAACTATTGTAAATAACATTGTGCGGACCAGCCTGCTAATTAAATTTATTACAAGTAAATGAGGGCAGCCTGGTTTTATTAATTTTGATCAACAAGACTAGAGTAATGGTAATTGTTCAGCATGTAACAATTCAGTAGCAGCTGCAGAATCAGCACACATAACTAATGTAATGCCTGCTTGGTAAGATGCAGGTATACGAATATGAGTTGTACCAATAGTTGTAACATTAGGATGTTGTCCCTGATTCATTGCTTCTCGTATCATATTTACAACTTGTCCTGTTATTAAAAAAAAGAAGAAAAAAAGAAAAAGAAATTTTGCAAGTATATATCACGTTTTTAATTTACATACAAAAATCAAAATAAGTAACAATGAGATATAAACATAAACTCACCCAGAACATTAAGCTTCCTCCATTTCTGGTCCATCTTTGCAAGAAGTGTTAAATCAGTATTTGCATTCCAACGTGCCAAAACATCAGCCCGCCTCACTAATAAAACACTAGGACTAACGAGCTGATGCCAAACAAGCTGAAAATAAATAAAATAATTATATATTTACGATTGACCAAGTTTCAAATTTGAACTTTGTTAATACAAACTTGTTCAGGTAAACATTGTAAAGGGTTTGTTAAATATATCCCTGCTTGCCCTACGCCAAATATCATTTGATGATGCCATGCATCTGGAATATCAGTACCTTCGCCACAATGTTGTAAATTTAATGTAGCTATAGGAGCAGCTCCTAAAAATGAATATTTGAATTTTTAATAATTCAAAAATTATATATATACACGTATCTAATGTTAATACAAATTTTGCACCTTTAGAAATCCAGTAATGTAGCCAATGAGAAAGTGAAACCTTTCTTTCAGGATAAAAGGAAAAGAATTTTGTGATAACTGCCCCACTTGTTGATAAAGATATTCCTCTTGCAATGTCTTTATGAGTTGCACCAGCCAACGATCTACTCATTAGATATTGTGGAAGTGGTGAACCAAGATCTCTTAATCTAGTACCTACAGCTTTCAACAATACCTCTAAAGAGAAAGAAATACCCAAAGCCAACTAAAAATGAAATTTAAAACCATTTATAAGGTGTTAATGTTAAAACACAATAACATTTAGATGGTTGTAGTTAAATATTATTTGTAGATATAAATTACCAAAGCATTGATAGCAGAAGTAGCACCACATGCAGAAGTTGCAATTTGAGTGACTTGTTTTACCGTAGCTTCTTGCTCAGTCCACAACATGATTTTTTCAACTGGTGGAAGTCCATCAATTTGCTCATTACATAATTCATTTTCCTAAAAGTATTATTTAATATATATATGGAATATATATATATATATATATATATTTTGAACAACAATAATAATCCACAAACCAAGTTCGAATCGCCACTCTGATTAAAAGCAGTTTGTTTATTAAGCATTAATTTTTTGGCCATCATTCGATGATAAAGTGTAGAGCTGAGATTCACTTTTCTTGAATTTAAATTCGAATTTCCTGGCATGGATACAGTAGAGGTTTCTGCCCATAATTCAGAGTCAGAATCTCGATTATCTCCAGGAGATATTAAGTCACCGCTTGTATTATGATATCCATAAGATTCGCGCAAAGGACATCCTAAATTCCTATGAAATCCAATTGATTCTGTCCTTCCATGAAGATTAGAATGGCACCCTGAATTAATTATATTAATTAGATATTAATTTATGTATTCTAGTATCAATTGCAAAATAAAATTTGTTAAGTTGTTCTTATTGACTTACCAGATCCACTGCTAGTACTCGGCATCCAAGGAGATGAATAAGTTTGTTTGGAGCTTTGCTCGCTGGTTGATCGATTATTGGAACATTGTTGAGTGACCGTGTGGCTAACATTTTGCCCAGTTTGAGAATTATGTTGAGGCACAGTTGTTGTTCCTTGTCTAGATACAACTTTACCACTACTCAAATCATTTAAAACAGGATCTGCCTCTGCATTATCTAATGTTATATTTTGTATGTCTTCATTTATAGAAGCCAAATCGCTGTCTCCTGTATCCTATATTAAAGAATATGTTAATATAAAACCAACTAGTTTTCCTTGACATTTAAATAAGTTACCTGCTCGCAAGAAGGTCCAGGATCAAAGTCCATTTCTAAAAAGTCCATCTCTGGACTAGACCTACCACTGTGACACTGTCCTACTTCATGTTCTACAACTTGGACTCGATTGACTTCCTCTTTCTGATCTAGATTAACTATATTGTCATTTCCTTTATATGTATAAATACAATAATCTTCTCCATCTGACATATCTCCTTCATTTCCGGAACTAGAATCTCTTCTGTCAATTATATCTTTTTGAAAACACTAGGTAGAACATAACTACGATTTAGTATAATTGTAGAAATTTTTAAAATATTTTCTCATACAAGTAAGTATAAATACTTACTCTTTGTAAACCACTTGGTCCAGCAACTTCTCTATTTCCATTGATATTAGGTCTTAGAAAACAAGTTCCTTGACTAGTCGAACCTATACTCCCTCCAATATTATTTAATATGCTAGCAGATGTATAAGATTTTGAGGTACGCATTTGATCACCTTCCGGACTGGAATCTGAACTGCAGGAAACTTTAGAAGGACATTTTTCTATTTCCAAAGCATAATCGACATTATTTTTCATATCCGTATCATCGTTTGATCTACTACCAGATAAATGCTGAGAGACAGTGGACGAATTCAATATAGATGTATTCGAATATGCATTAGTATTAGATGCATTGATAGAACTATAAGAAACTGGTGTAACCGTATTAGCCAGGTGACAATTCAACTGACCGGAAGATAAATTTAGGTGCATTTGAGGCTTAGGCAAGTTAAGAGTATTTGCATTTACAACAGTCTTATGCTTCAATTGACTTGCAGAATTAGTATTTGCATTATGTGATATGACACTTGTAGTATTTACAAAAGTGGAAGATGAACTTGCGTTTGGTGTGTCAGAAATAGTAACTTGTTCCAATGAATGACTGCAACCTGATGTAGTAGCTTCCATCGATCGTGCTCCATTAGAAACCACCATAGAAGATTTGGAAGGTAATACACTCTTTGCGTCGCTCTCACTAACATTATTATTCAATTTCAGCTGCTCGTCAGACATTTTATTTTGTATTTTAGTTGCTTTGGATAACTTATTTCCTTGTTCAGTTGTTTGATTATCATTCTTTTGTAAGCCACCATCCATTCTTGTTTCAGATTTTCCCTGTCTCTTTCCATCCTCTTTGGAATTCATATTGTATTGTCTGTGCTTACAAATGACAACAGATAATTACTAAAGTGTTACCAAATTTACTCCTAGCATAGATTTGTACAAACAGATATATTACACATCATAGCCAGGCGTTGTTAATTAACCAAACGTAATTACGTTCGATTGAATTGTTCATTTACTTACTATAGTGTATATTACTAATTCATATGAAACGAAAAAATTATTTCATTCACCGAATGATACAAAATACATGCCTGTCTATACAAGATAGTAAATGGGATGATTCAACCTACTAATCCACCGATTTACGGACCTTCGAACTTTTACGTCCCTATAATTTACCCTAATTCAACGATTAAACAAGAGCTTTGACGTTATTTCCTTTGGAAATGATAAAAGACTACTTAAAACTATATATATCGGCCCATAGATTATATAACTTCTTAATATTTAAGTCAATTTCTATTTTTTCGTTAAAATACTATAATAACTCCCGTAAAGGATTCATCCTCTTTTTAATTACAGCTCCTCCTTATATACACATATTACTTCCGGAAGTCAGCTGATCGTAAGGAACACATATACGCACAAGTTTGCTAATCTTCGGATGAGAAGGACTTTGACAAAATATACAATATCGTATAGAATAAATTAATGTTAAACATTATACCTCGTTCAACTGCCAAATAAAACAGCTACCGATCGAAGGAAATTTTCATCCCGATACTTCCTCAAACAAATCACAGTACGTATTTACGAAGACGAGCAACGCGATTGTATTTACTCTGACGAACCCCCATCATTTCTCCGATTATAGCGCCATCTTAACAAACCGTATAGATGCCGCTGGTATATGTTAAAATAGAGAATAGTTTGACGTAGCGGTGTCCTTAGCTATTCATCCTTTCGTTCGAGTTGTTTGATTCCGCTGATATTTAATAACAATTGTTTATTGTATCGGGTAAGTCTCCTTGTATTTTTAATGATTATTCGCTATACATATTATCTAGACAATTGCATATGTAATATCTTTTTATCTTTATTCATTGTTGGTCTCGATAGAACAATAATAAACACCATATTTATCTTCCGTTTGTCATAATCAATAATACTTATAAGTAATTTTTATCCTTGTCAAAAATAATTCATAATTCTCTTTTATTTTTAGAAAAAATATTAATAAAAGAATTAATTCTGACCTAATTACACAGTCTTCTTGCAAAAATGCAGATTTTTGTAAAAACTCTCACTGGGAAGACTATTACATTAGAGGTTGAAGCATCTGACACGATAGAAAATGTCAAGGCTAAAATACAAGATAAAGAAGGCATTCCTCCTGATCAACAAAGACTTATTTTTGCTGGCAAACAATTAGAAGATGGGAGGACTCTTTCGGATTACAACATTCAGAAGGAATCTACTTTACATTTAGTCTTGCGTCTCCGTGGAGGTTCAAATACTTGAATAAAAGGATAATTAATCATTTTGTAGCAACATTTAGTAAACATCGTAGTAGATTTACTAGTAGAAGTTTATTCTTCTTTTTTTATATCTATACATTTATTAAAAATCGATATTTATATAATGTATGATACGATTTAAACAAAAGTCTCAATAAATCTGAATACAAGCATTATTCATTGTACGCCAATGCGCATGTGCTCCCCATATATGTAAACATTAATCAATAAAAATTTCATGCATTTTTAACTATACTATATAATTATTTGTTAAATATATAATAATGAAGAGTAAGTCTGCAGCTGTTTCTTAATTTATGAAGCAAAGTGTAGACAATATACAGAACAGCTACAGTTTCCATTTTTCAAAGATTTCATATGAGGCTTATGGTAGTACAGGGGAGATGGCGTTGCGAGTATTCTTTGAGAAACATGTCTCTAATTATAATAGGCACTTATAATTTAAATTGAAATAAATTGAAGTGGACAACATTTTATCAGCAATATTAGCAACAAAATAACTATTATTTTCTATATAAATCATTTACTTAAAATAATAGACATTTGATTCTTCGAGAAAACTCGAAGAGAGAAAATCACGGTATTAAAATTTATTTTTCAATAATCATACCAAAAACGTGCGAAAATTGGATAACTAAAGACGAAAGCATTTATTTTTTCTTTTTTCGTTGTATTCAAATTTCTGTAAAATATCGAAAACTGTGAATAAAATGAAATAATCGTTTAGGTCATATATACGCGATGTGGTCCGCCTTCGACCCTGTGTTGCTTTTGTTTGGAGAACGGATCGAGAACAAGGTCACGCAGGTAAAATGGCAGCCAGAGTACAGAGATCGGTCGGGGCTTGACGATAACCTCGCGTCGTTACGCGAATCGTTCGATTTCTTTACGCGAATAAACGTCGACTACGTGATATAAGTTAATAGAACGACGATAGAACAAGTGAAAATGACCGATACTTAGCATAGATAGGAGTCATTTATTTTCTTTACGATCGTAGAAATAGATCTCGATCGATTTAGTAAGTCAATAACGTTCCGGTATATTCTTGATCCACGTGAATCCACGCATACATATACGCATACGCATACGTATACGCATAGGCGCGTACATAGAAATGATTAAAAATGTTTAATTATCCCGCCTTTGAAAACTTTGAAATTTTAGTCGCGCCATATAGGTGTAATTGTGCGGTATGATAATCGCAAGAGGCGTCGTCGCATGCAAGTGGTTGACTTGCGATCTGATAAAAGAATTGAAATACATTTTTTTTTGACAATCTACGTGTTCTATATCAGACGACAATTCTGATAAAGGCTCTAGTTTTCTACCTGATCGTTTGGGCGAAGCCTCATTAACAGCAACAATGAAAATGGAGGTACGTCTAAATACCTGTATACATATATTTTTATTTTTACATTTCTTACTGTTTACATTTTTACGTCGTCCTCTTACTATCTTTATATCGTAATCGTTAAATTATACGTTGACTCAACGCCTTGACTTAAAAAAACATTTTTTTGGTTGATAGCGAATCGAAGATAAAACTGCACTTGTCATTGCGAACATATAGAATTATGTGCAAGTTTTTTTTTTCTTCTTTTCTCTTTTCTTATTCGTATTAAATATACTTCTTTCCTTTTTTTTTTTTTACTTATTAATTTAATAAATAATAAATAAGTAAAACGTATAGAATAAAATCCGTTGCGCTGTAAAGATAAATATTTGATAAAGATAACGTTGATGTAGTGCATAAGAGTGTATCGTTAAAAATTATGTGTGTTTTGTGTGTGTTGTGAGTAAAATCACGTATATAAGATCATACTTGCGTCATCGTACATTTGTGTATTAAACACATTTATTCGTGCATGTATATATATATATAGGTATACAAAAAGAAAAGAAGTACATTTTCTAGGAATGGTTACGTTTCCTACACAGGATCTATTCCCGTTGAGATGTAATCATTCAATTTATTACACGTGTATTTACCTGCATTTACTATATAACATATTTGTAGAAATACATAACGCTGTAAATCGTAAAAATACGACCATAATCAATATTTATTATTCTAACAAAAAAATAATAATCTCATGATAACGGAAATTAATAGTAAAATAATATCACAACTATAATATTAATTACACAACGGTAATATCATTTAAATACAAGGAAAACTCTCTCTCTCTCTCTCTCTTTCTGAAACATAAAAACGTTGAAATATTTATATCGATAGTAAAAAATTATAATTACAAATATACGCGTCATACTTAAGTATTATCGTAAAAACGCTTTTCAAGTATATCAATGTTGTTATTTTTTTGTAGTAAAGCGACATAGATATTGGCATTTGATGAAAAGTAGTCGGGTAAGTTTTTAAATTAATTAGCTAGAAATTGTTAAATAATTCACACTCGATAAAACAATTGTTATTAAAAAAAAGGCTACGAGTAATCTGTACTGCAATATTTGTTCTGTAATAAAATTCGAATTATTCATATTGAGAGTATTTATTGCTTATAAGAAAGAGAAAAGAAATGAATGATTTGTAGGGAGAAATTCTCATCCTTTCTCTTTTCGATTTCGCGGATCGAACGAAAATTTCTATTTAAATTCTCTCTTTATCAATTGTTAATAAAATTTATAAGATAGTTATTTAGTACACCAAGTACATATATATATATCTATGAGAATTTCGTAAATGAATCTTTGGCAGAACACTTATTTCCAAAGCAACAGATGTTTCTGTGAAGCAAGTATACTATTACATCGAGAAACATCTGTAATACTTTTATCCAATCATTATACACAGATCCCTAATCTCCCTCATCAAATTTTGTTCTTCAATATAACGACATACATGCATATTTTATATCCACGTAGATTTGAATTTGTAACGAAAGAAAAATGTATAGAGATCATATAATTCATCTTTTTTCAAACTTTCCTAATCGGTTGGACTAACATAAGTAACGAGATGTGAGCTGAGAATTTTATAGCAGTCAGTAAAAAGATATTACACGCAAGATCGTTTGAAGTATTCATTAAGCATAATTATATTACTACAATTATTTCATAGCCATATCATTCACGCGATAAAATTAAACGTTTCTTTTGTATATAGTCTATATATTGTCTATTATTAGTTACAAATGAGCAAACAAAAAATCAACAAAATTGCATTGCAAATGCAGTTGATTTTGTATCGTCATTGAAGTTGTGAAAAAATGAATCGAATGAATGAAAAATGGATTTTCTCGATCGGAAACTGTCAGAAAGGAGGCAACGAGACAAGTCAGGAAGATCCGTGGCCCATTTTTTTTAGAAAGGAAGCAGCTAACCAACCGGCTTACGGTTTAACCGGCATGTTACATCGAAGCACAGCAATTGCTGTTAGTTTTCTGCGAGCGGCATTCCTGAGTGCCGCTCGAGTGCAGCTGCTTGCCTAGAGTACAGTAGAATAGAATAGAAAGAGGAACTTACTACTTGGATAAATATTTCACTTCCTACACCGAAGTTATTCGTTTTCGGTTCTTGTTTTTTTTATATTTATACGTCGACAACTAAATCGTATTGTTATTCTCATCTATGATTACGGGAGCATTTAAAGTAAGTTCGGTTTAAATAACAACAAAAAAAGAAACAAAGTATTGAGAAATGAAGAAAGATCGAAAGATCAATAGATCGATAGGTCGATGCGAAATATTCGAAATGATTCATAAATTTGAGTCATACACGAAAACACGTGTTTTTGATGATACCCAGATTTAATCTAATTGTAAGATCAATATAATTTGACCAAGTTTTTACTTCTTAAGTACAACGAGGAGAGAAAAAAAGCTGGATGATCAAGTTTGATCATATTAGTATTGAGATTACAACCTGTTTTTTGGAATTCACTTCCCGTTAGCATCGAGATCGGTAGCACTGTGATCGTTTGATATTCCAAGTATTTCGCCGTTATCCTTCTTTTCTTTGTTCTCTTTGCTTTTCTTAAAAAAGCCAAAGGTCACGAGATTGATATAATATTACAAGAAAAAATACAGGAATAATCGGAGAAACTAAAACTAAATAAGCAATAAATTTCTTAAGGAATTTATATATAAAATGTAAAACATGTGTAAAAAGATAAAAATAATAATGTAACAAAGTTGATCTTGTTTTTAGGCGGAGCATAGATTGGAACAGTTAAAAAAGGCAACGGACAGAATACAAAAGGAGATCGAAGAGGTCACAGAGAGGGAGCACGAGCTACGAAACGTGGGTAGCATTAAAACCACGTCGCACGAGACGGTAGATTCCAAGGTGGGTATATTGTAAGAGAGAAAGAGAGAGAAAGAAAGAAATATCTTGGTGCATACGAAGGTGCTCGAGCTCAAGGTCGCTCAACGTCGAAGGAAAGTGAGCACGTCGGTCGTGTGATACTTATAAGGATTCAAATTGTGCATCCTTTGCACACTTTATACGTGCTTTCTTCCTAATACGAGAATCACGAGCACTTAGATTACATTTTCCATTGGAATTTCAGTCCACGTTTAATATCGTATACGTTATTAATTATTCAAAAGTATACATTTTTTAATACTACTATAGACAAATGTAATTTGCTTATATTTAAATAAAGTCATCCACCTGTTAAAGGATAGATAAATCTTTACGAGTTTAACAAGTAGAACAGAACTAACGAATCTTCGAGAGTTAATTCGTGCAATAAACTTATTAGATTAACTCACAATCAGTTCTAATTGTAAGACTATGAAGTATTTAACAAACGCGTGGGTAGCGCGCGAATGAAAGCGTAAGAAAATGATTTTAAAGTGTGCACATTGATATGAATTTAGGTGAGACGTATGCCGCAAGCTTTGGCATCGAGTAAATTGAAGAGGGCAACGTCAACGCCACAGATTTTCGAAGCTGTTAGTCTTGTCCCTTCGACACAATCTACTCTACCAAAAATGACGAACGGTGTAACATCTTCTAATTCAACAGCAAGACCTTTACGTTTTGCTACAGCACCTAGCCAAAAAGGATTGATGCATAGGTTCTTAGCAACTAGGGGAAAGATTTATAAGTCTAACACAACTCCTAATGATCTTATAACTTCGTCTACCACTGTACCTACCATTGCACTTAATCCTATAAGCGTAAAAGCTTTCAATCGCAGTTTGAAGATACAACTTGAACCAGATGATGAACCTAAAAAACCTCCTGTTAGGAAGGGTTATGTACCTGTTGAAGAAAAAATTCAAAAAGAATTGCACGAGATGAAGGAACGAGAAAATGAACTTAGGTAAGCGAACAGTCGTAATTATTAATAACAATAAGAGAAAAAGCAATCTATGCAAAAGTATGCTTTATTTTTTTTTGTCTTGTTTCGTATATATAATATATTGTACATTATTTGTATAATGTACAATTATAATATGAACAAATTAATGTAGAAATTTCTTGAAATTTTGTTCTAGATTAATGCGTTCTCAAATGTTAGCAAAATCTCAACCAAATCTCTTGGATATCGGTAACGATAATGATTCCGATATTTACGATGGCACCGGCTCCTTAAGAAGCGGAGCATCATCTAATACGTTAAACGAAGATGAAATAGAAAGAGAAAGTAAAGGCAAACATAAGGTAAAATATCATTTTTTTTTACTTGAAAATATAATCGATTAATCGTTCATGGAATCAGAAGTAAGAGAAGAGTGGCAAAAGTTTAATTGGTGTTTCAAGTGAAATTATTTTTAGCCAAATCCACGGCGTCGAAGCACTCTCATCGCTCAATGGGAAAATCTTATAGCAGCGAAAAAAGAATCCAATGAGAATAATCATGAAAACGATAGTGTTTTTTGAGAAAAGGTTTATCGTTAATTTTTTTCGAAAATTTCTTTTTTGTCCAATTTGTTACGTACATTTGATAAATCTATTATTTTATCTTTCTTCATATATATGTATTTAGGTACGTAAAATTTATATATATACATTTTCTACACACACACACATATCACCAAGTAATAAGTTATAAACAAATATTTATTGAAGCATTAAAACTTGAATAATAAATTTCTACGTATATATATACATATATAATCGTAGATTGTGGTGTAGACGTTGCTCTCACACGGATATTATAATATTTTTGTAATATAATATTTAGAAAAGAACTTTAGTAATATCAATATAGTATATGTTTATTGTTTCCTAAAAATAATAATGTACTATTAAATTAGTAATTAATCAAGAATTAGTTTAAAATTATATTTTTTTACTAGTAGGATTAAATAGATATTTCGTAAGATAACTTGTAGTATTTACTCAACAAAAATATATATATATATATGTAAGCAGTAATTAATTGAAAAAATTACAAATTAGATAAGAAAGTTAATTCAAATGTATATGCAAACCTATTATTACTATATATATACATATATAACGATGCTAATCAAAACTATTCGTGCAATCTCTATTGATATGGTGCCGAATTTCATAATTTATTAAGTTATTTTTTGATTTAATTATTAATATATATATTAACTTCATACTTATTCAAATACGCAAATACATTTGTTTTCGCTTTTTTAATTCAAAAAAATATTTCTTTTACTACATTGTATTTTAAAACGCTTTATTTTTATGTTAAAAGGAAAGTATATTTAAACGTATAATTAATAAATACGAGTGAGTCTACTTATTTTATAAAGATTTTCTAGATCTAGTGTATAAATCTGAATTTATTATTTAAGCACTACTTCAGATAAAAACTATAATTGTTTGCGTGTAATCAGTATTTAAACGAATAATGATAGATTAAAATTTTTCCTAGTATGCAAAGGATATAGCAAATGCTTTATAAATACAAGATAATACTTATGTTTATAATTAACATTGCACTTTCTCATAAGTATATTTCACATAAATATTTTATATTGCTTCACGAGTAAAAATAAAGTAAAATAATACACGAAATTTGTTTATCTGAACAATAATAATATTAAAAAGTATTAAAAAATAAATAAACAATATTTCTTACAACTCGTACTATGCGACACTTACTTCAAAGAATAAAGAAGTACATAGAAGCTCACAAGTCCTCTTTTTTATCTATGCAGTATTATTGTTGTTACTACCAAGATCACCTTAGGTAGGTACTTAACGCGATGACGGTAAGAATGAAGTATTCTTTGATATTATATTTAATTTTTAGTATATAAACATGTGTGCGCCTTCAGAAATGCTTATATAAATTAATTTTAAAATGCAACAAAATTAAGTCAATCAAGATGAAATGATGATAAATCCAACGCTGATCACCTGTAACAAAAAGAAAACTATATTAGTCATATAGTCAAGTAATACAATAGCCTAACATATAAATCGTCTAATTTGCAGATGCACTTTTCAATTGAATTCTCTATTTACTTTAATCAAATCTCTATCTATCGTTGTAATGAAATTAAATTTAAACTCTTGATTTTACATTTACATAATATAATACATAATATAAAATATAATTTACTCGTTTTCGTCCARAAAAGCATGTAATAAATGTCTTACATGCATTGTTTCGTATTGAGTTTATCTAATCGCGATTAATTTTTATATATCGATACCTCGATATTATAAATAAATGAGCAAGAAAACAAACTCATTCGCGACGGATAGATTCTAGCAGTTAAGTGGTGGCTTAAAGCCTAGTTCTTTTATTAGAACAGCCAAACTTAATGAAAGGAGTCGTCCGAGGTTGTTAATATATATTAATTTTTTTTTTTTTAAATTTTTAAATATTAAAAAATTAAATTTAACAATTTTTTGCATAATCAAAAAGTCAAATCTAAATTAATTGTACAGTCCTTAGCCGCTTAGATAAATTTTTATAAAAATGTCTTTATTTATTATGTATTTATATGATATGTATTTATGTACTTTTAATCATGTTTTTTTAGATCAGGATTTTCAGCTTCTAATATACTAATCTCCCGTTTCTCCCCCCACACTTTCTGCGTTCTCATCTATGCGTGTGCCCAGGTGTTGCACGTATGGGTGAGAAACGGTTTGTATGGGCTTAGTTTTAAGTTTTTCCCCCCTATTGGCGGCTGTCATTGTGCTAGTGATTGCACGGTGTACATTGCACTTGTGTGTGCGTTAGGTGTGTGCATTGTACATCGTTTCGCGATAC